AGACGAGCTTCTCCTGTCCTGGGGGTTCACCACGCTCTGAACAGTGGTTGGCATCATCAGATGTGACTAAGCTTTGGGGAGAGTTTTGAAACTTAAAACTTCCTGTACCAGCCATAGTCAGGGCGACCACACTGGGTTTCAGCAAGATAGAAGGGAGACACTATTTACATATGAGAGTTGTAGTGTGGGTGAGTTTTGTGACTTTACATTTTAATGCTGAAGACTATCCCTGGGGAACATCTGTGGAGGAGGCAGGACGTAGTCCAAAACTGTATCTAACATTTTTACATTAAAAACTGTTATTTCCAAACCCTCTTCCTTCTCCAAATCCAGTTTATTTTTAATATTTGAAATGAATTTGAAGGCCCATTCTCCCCAAACTTTAGTATTAAAAAAATTTATGTTGCACAATCTACTAAAACACAGGTGAACCAGGCACACCTATAATCTCAGACTCAGGAGGCTAAGGCAGGAGGATGGCTGCAAGTTTGAGGCCAGTCTGGGCTACATAGCAAGACCCTGTTCCGAAAAGTAAGAACAAATAAGAACAACAGACCCACAAGTGATGAATTTATGTATTGGGCTTCTTACATGTCCCGTCATGTCCTTTAAATATAAAGTCCGATCAGTCTGATAATGACACATTTTGCTCAGGGATGGCCCACGGCCCACCCTTTGTGATGCTGTTATTCTAGCATAATAGAAAATTAGATTCACTTGAGAACTAAGCAAGTCTTAGTCTGACGTTGAAAGGCAGGGCCTGACCCCACTGCTGGGCAAACTTCGAAGGAGAGACTGCTGAGACCTGACCTGAAACCGAACATCCCTGCGATCAGTTTGTGGTTCACTTAAAAATCAGAATTGAGGGGCTGAATAAATAATTCAGGTGGGAAAGTACTTGCTACACACAAATGAAGACCTGAATTCGATCCCCACAAGGCATGTAAAAGCCAGGCTCCTTAGTGCGTGTCTGTAATCCCAGCGCTCCTACAGGAGGTGAGAGGTAGACACAGGATTGTCCTGAGATGCTCAGAGGCCAGCTAGTCCGGCAGAGTGAGCTGTGCACAGAGACCTTGCAGGTTGGAAGGCGAGGACTGAAGGAAGGAGGTTGTCCTATGACCTCCACGCAAGTGCCAAGGCATGCACACACATGCAGTCACACACATGGACATGCACATGTGTGCACACACATCACACACAAGAAGATCTGAAACACATTCACAGACATGCCCAGAAGCATACACACCCCTCACCCCCATCCCTAACCCTGGCAATTCTAACTCCAATCGAGTTGATGGTCCCAATGAACCATCTTGGAGAGCCTCAGGCAGAAGGCAGAAGGCAGCTTTGATAAAGGCTGGAAAGAAGAGTAGAGCAGCAACACTCTGTGAGAGCCTCACAAAGTGGGTTAGGTGGTGGAGTGAGACAAGCAGGGGGGTGGATAAAGGGTAAAGTGAGATAAACGGTGGTTTGGTACATGAGCAGGCAGCAAACACATTTTCTCTGAAAGACCTGTAGCCATCCATCAGAGGGTCTGAGCCGAGCAGTGACAGGATCTAGACATAGCCTAACAGCACCACAGGGTGCTGTGTTCGACGGTGACCACGGGGCATGAGGGCAGGAGGGAGGCTCTGTTGAGAAACTTCAGTTACCATCACTGTGGCTTGGAGCCAGGTGAGAATGGCCAGATGTGCAACATATTCTAAATAGAGCTGCTGCAATGCAGGTGTCCCCTGAAGATGCATCTGCTTGGAGTTTGCTCTCCAGTGGGGCAGTGTGGAGGCAGCGAACCTTTAGCTAGTCTGGGGTGCAGTTAGTGTGGAGGTGGGGAACCTTTAGGAAGTTGGACCTAGGGGAAGGTGTTTAGCTCAATTCCAGTGTCACCTTTAGGAGGTGAACTGAGTCCCAGAAAGAACAAGTTGTTATGAAAAGAATGAGCCTAGCCTGGAGTCTCTGACTTCATGTCTTTCGGAATCCTTCCTGCTTCCTGTCTCACTATGTTACATTTCCCACAATTCCTGCCATTGTGATGTCATCTGCCATGACTTTCTCACCAGAAACTAGATGAGTGTCACCTAGTCTTCGATTCTCAGCCTTCACAACTGTCATCTAAATAAACCTCTTTTCTTCATATACTACCCTGATTCAAGTATTCTATTACAACAACAAACACCAAACTAAAGCAGTAGCCAATAAGATTTGCTAAGCAGATAAGATGAGCAAGGTCACATTAAGCACATGAAGACCATCTGCGGAGCGAGCTTGTGAGGAAAGATCAGAATTTCAGTTCCAATTTTGGACTTACTAAGTCTGAGATGCATGTTGAGTTGAAGTGGAGGTACGCCTCCACATGTACCCCACAACCCCAGCGGAACCGTCTGAGCTGGAGAGACAAACTAAAGGTCTTCCAGCCATTGGCTTGTATTTAAAACTGATTAACATCAGCAAAGAGACAGAAAATATAGAAAACATCTCACAAATGCCTTCAGACAAGTCCCAGGCTGGCCTGGCTCAGAGGGGTGAAAGCTGGGAGGCAGGAAAGCGCCGTTTTACACCCCAGGAAGGGTTTCAGCCAACCAAGGTCGCAGCAACTTAGTCACATAGAATTTTCTATGTGCCAAACTGTCGGATTTTCATTTGATGTTTTGTGATAGTTTCAAATTCCTTGCTCTGATTTGGCACCTGAACCCAGAATCTCCCAGAGGCGTTAGCTCACAACTAGCAAAACTAAATATCACGTAATGGTGCCCTGTCTAGACACGGTCCCTCCAGGAGAGACCTGAAGTTGGCGGCACTGTTCCCTCCTTCCCTTCTCCAGAACGTTAATGAGCCCGGACGGGATAAGGTAAGTGCGCCTCAGTCTTTCTCTTCTGACTGTTCACCCTCGTTCACTCAGCTGTCAAATGTGATCCATTTGATCCATTTGGTGGGGGCCATCTTTCAAGAAAAGCATTTCATGCTAAACCTCAAGGAATGTTCAATGTGTAACCATGCCCACTGCTCAGCACAAAGCCATCAGAGTGGCCGGAAAGTGGTTTCACACCGGGCCCAGGATGTCTGGGGCTTTGTGGAAAAAGCTGTAGCTCTAAAGCAAACAGCCACAGACTTCCAGCCAGCACAACGCCGACTGTACTGACAGCCTCAGCCACGTGCCCATCTCGCCCTGGCTATCGCCTTTCCTGGTGGGCATTGCGATGAGGCCACCCTGGGCTCTAGCAGTCACCGGTCCCCCCTCCTCTCTCTCCCCCTCTCCTCCATTCCCCAAATGAACAGGTACTTCCCTCTCCTCCAGAATAACTTTGTGGAACTCTTACTGTCCTCCATTAGCTTGTTATTTAATGAGAGTCCAATTCTAAGGATCATTTAGGACTTCATGGAGAGGAAACCCATGGTTTTTCTGGATAATAAATCCTATGCAGCATCGGCCGCCCTGTTAGCTTGTATTTAACACACTGAGGCGGCCAAACTTTGCCACGAAGACGTTCGTTTGCTTCCCTTTCTTCTGGATTTTCTTTCGGGTCTTCCAGTACAGCCTATTTTTTAACTTCCTGTTTATCTACCTTTTGTGTTAGACCAACCCCAGTGCTAGGCAAGTGCTCTCCCACAGAGCCACACCCTCGTCTGTCCCTTAGGAAGCTTTGAAACATGACATTCGGCACAGGGTGCTAAGGTTGAAAACAGTCTGAGACAGGCTGAGTGACTTCTGAGTTTCTGCTCCACTGCATTTACAACCCGCACGTGTTTTCACTTGCACAGTCGATGCTTAAAAAATAACCAATTTTATGAGGTTTTGTACAAATTAAATGAGATGCTTGAAAAGTACTTCAAACAGTGCCCCAAATAAAACAAACATAATTTTTTTGGTTAAAATCTCAATACTAGAATGAACTCTGGCTGTCTTTCTGTGAAAATAAAACACCTGTGTACTCAGGTGGGAAAACTCATTCAATTGCAGCTTGAGGTAAGACAGCAGTATTGAAGGACAAGCAAGTGTTGACTCAGTTCCTTTTACTGGTTGATGTTCTGTGGGAGTGACAGGAGGGACCAGAAGGAACTTCTGCCCCTCTCCCTTCTCCCCCAGATCAGAAGACTCCATCAGGGCAGGAGCCACATCTTCTTTCCAAGGTCCTCCCCAAGTATTTGTCAGTGACTGAACTCAGGTCTTTTTGTGAGTCAATTTACCAGATCAAATTCAAACCACAGGGAAAACATTAAGAGAGCAATGTCCCTTGGTGGGAAAGGGCGTCTTCTGAGTCATTTTGGAGCTTGTGTGATCACTGAGAACAGGGAGCACTCAACACCACGTCCCTGATACCGCTACACACCCCATCTCCATTTATTTCCGAGGTTCTGACAAGTCAACAGGACAGTGAATGTTGGATGAGACCAGAATGCCTGGACCAGGGCAACCTGGACAGCCACAGGCTCCCTCATGGTTAGGTGTTGAAGCAAACTAGGCTGCTGTGGAAGCAAACTATCTCCTCATGGACTCTCTGGAACGTGGGCCAGTGAGGACAGAGCATGTTAAGCTGATCATGTCACAAGCTCTTTCCCTATGGTGAACAGCAAGGGAAAGAATTGTGGTGAGGACGGGTGTTCTTGGTGCATCTGGCTCCTGGTGAGTTTCCTAGCCAGCCCATCCTTATTTCTCTCT